GATCCATTTTGAGTTTATTTTTGTGTATGGTGTAAGGGAGTGTTCTAGCTTCATTGTTTTACATGCTGCTGTCCAGTTTTCCCAAAACCATTTGCTGAAGAGACTGTCTTTACTCCATTGTATATTCTTGCCTCCTTTGTCAAAGATTAGTTGACCAAAAGTTTGTGGGTTCATTTCTGGGCTCTCTATTCTGTTCCATTGGTCTATATGTCTGTTTTTGTACCAGTACCATGCTGTCTTGATGACTGTAGCTCTATAGTACTGTCTAGAGTCTGGGAGAGTTATTCCTCCAACCTCTTTCTTTTTCTTCAGCAATGCTTTGACAATTCTAGGTCTTTTGTGGTTCCTTATAAATTTTATTATGATTTGTTCTAGTTCTGTGAAGTATGTCTTAGGTAATTTGATAGGGATTGCAATCTGTAGATTGCCTTGGGCAGTATGACCATTTTAACAATATTTATTCTTCCAATCCAGGAGCATGGGATATCTTTCCATTTTTTTTAGCTCTTCTTTAATTTCTTTCATCAGTGGTTTATAGTTTTCTGTGTATAAGCCTTTCACCTCCTTGGTTAGATTTATTCCTAGGTATTTTATTACTTTGGGTGCTATTTCAAAGGGGATTGTTTCTTTACTTTTTTTGTTGATTCATCATTAGCGTAAAGAAATGCAACTGATTTTTGAACATTAATCTTGTAACCTGATACCTTGCTGAATTCTTCAATTAATTCTAATAGTTTTTGTGTGGACCTTTTAGGGTTTTCTATATATAGTATCATGTCATCAGCATACAGTGACACTTTTACCTCTTCTTTTCCAATTTGGATCCCTTTTATTTCTCTCTCTTGCTTGATTGCTGTGGCTAGGACTTCCAAGCCTATGTTGAATAGGAGTGGTGATAGTGAGCATCCTTGTCTTGTCCCAGATTTTAGTGGGAAGCTTTTGAGTTTTTCACCATGAGTACTATGCTGGCTGTAGGTCTGTCATATATAGCTTTTATTAGAAATAAAAGCAAGAATAAACAAATGGGGCCTAATTACACTTACAAGCTTCTGCACAGCAAAGGAAACCATAAGTAAAACAAAAAGACAACCTACGGAATGGGAAAAAATTTTTGCAAATAATGAAACTGACAAAGGCTTGATCTCCAGAATATATAAGCAGCTCATACAACTTAACAAGAAAAAAACAAACAACCCAATCCAAATATGGGCAGAAGACCTAAACAAGCAATTCTCCAAGGAAGACATACAAATGATAAATAGGCACATGAAAAAATGCTCAATATCACTAATTATCAGAGAAATGCAAATCAAAACTACAATGAGGTATCACCTCACACCAGTCAGATGGCCATCATTCAAAACTCCACAAATGACAAATGCTGGAGAGGCTGTGGAGAAAAGGGAACCCTCCTTTACTGCTGGTGGGAATGCAGTTTGGTGCAGCCACTGTGGAAAACAGTATGGAGATTCCTTAAAAGACTAGGAATAGACTTAACATATGATCCAGGAATCCTGCTCCTGGGCATATATCCAGAAAGATCCCTACTTCCAAAAGACACCTGCACCCCAATGTTCATAGCAGCACTATTTACAATAGCCAAGACATGGAAACAGCTTAAATGTTCATCAACAAATCACTGGATAAAGAAGATATGGTATATTTATACAATGGAATAGTATTCAGCCATAAAAACTGACAACATAATGTTATTTGCAGCAACTTGGATGTTCCTGGAGAATGTCATTCTAAGTGAAGTAAGCCAGAAAGAGAAAGAAAAATATCATATGAGATCGCTCTAGGTGGAATCTAAAAAAAACTAAAAAAAAACCCCATAAATACAAAACAGAAACAGACACATAGACATAGAATATAAACTTGTGGTTGCCAAGGGGCGGGGAAAGACTGGGATTTCAAAATGTAGAATAAACAAGATTATACTGTAGAGCACAGGGAAATATATACAAGATCCTGTGGTAGTTCACATCGAAAAAAAATGTGACTATATATATGTTCATGTATAACTGAAAAATTGTGCTCTACACTGGAATTTGACACAACTTTGTAAAATGACTATAACTCAATTTAAAAAATGTTTATAAATAAATAAATAAATAAAGTAAAATTGTCAAGCGAAGAAAAAAAAAAGAAGATCCCATGACATCTCATTGTGTAGAGATTATAGAGTGAGCTATGCCCAAAAAGAACCCTAGGGAACATCCCATTTGCATAATCTCCCAGGACCTCATCTTTTAAGATCGTGGAAGAAAATGATTCAATTCACTATTGGTGCTTAAAAAATAAGTGTTCTATTTAACCAATAATACAGCCAGAGGTTGAAATGGAATCCACAGAAAAGCCCAGGTGATGGCCAGCTGTGAGGAGAGGGCTAAGAATCATGGGGATCCAGTACCAAACTCTGGATCTGCAGCTTGGATCTCTGGATCTCACTCTGCTGAACTCACTAACAGGTCCGTTCACCCGAAGTTCCCCATCTCTAGAACAAACTCATCCCTGGTTTCCAGGTAAGAAGGAGGAAGATGCTGAAGGAATCAAGTCTCTGCAGAAACAGACAACTTAAGTCTATCCTAGGAGAAGGGCCCTGTCCTGATTTTTACAATCCACAGTCTATTTGGGAGAAGAGATTTTTCTTTTTCTCTCTTCTCTAGAATTCTTGGCCTTAGGAATCTACTACTGGGCTCTTAATGGGAGGGTCAGTTTGTATGCTAAAAAGCCCAAGAAATCAGAAGATCCATTGTCTCTCAAACTTGCTACCCCTTTTCAATTACTAGAACCTTCCTGTGCTCTGACTTTTCATCCTCATTTCCACAGAGTTCTTGTACTTTCACTTTCCCCACACTCTCTGGGTGATGCCCCCTGGACTCACAGCAAAATACCCAGGTCACAAGACAGAGCTTCTTGTAACACAGGCTGGGAGGTGGGAAGGGGAGAGCTCAGGAGTGCTGGTGTTGGGTGTGTGGGGACTCCCTGCCCCAGCACCTAGTTGTCAGGCTGCTACCACAATGCATATTCCCTCTGAGGGGTAAGAATGAGACAGAACAGGAGTGCATACTGAAGGTCTGTTCCTGTTTCTACTGGAAGAGGAACAACTCCACTGGTGCCCTCTCACTTACACCAGTGGTCCAGGCGGTCACACCTTGTGTTACTCCTGGTTCATCACAGAATCTCCCCATTCCAAAGAGAACATGAAGCTGGATCAGCATCAGCTGTGTCTTACAAGCTTTGTACTATGCTTTAAATAGGGATTATTAGAGTTTAGGAGAGTTTAAAAGCAGATTTGTGACAGTGCCATTGCGTATGAGAGGGTTCTGTTCTTACTGGATGCATTCAGTTATTCATTTACTAATTCAGCCAGTCAGTGAACATTTCCTAAAAACTTACTATATGCTGGGCAATGCAGTCATATGGATTGAGATAGGGTTTCTACACTGAAGAATTTCTGGGCGACTGGCTTATAAAACAATCATGTATAAATTAATTTTAAAAATCATATTATACACATACCTCAAAACTCAAATTGTACACATGTATTATGCACAGTTCATCATATGGAAACTTACAATGATGAAACAGTAAACAATGAGCTTATCAGACAGCATTAGGAAATGAGATCAGTAATGGATTATTTTGGCTATTAAAGTTCTGGCACTTATCAAAGATTCTCTTGCATATTCCCTTTACATTATATCCAAAGGAAAGCAATTTCTCATTTAGTTTTGCTAGTTCCTCAGATTATTCCTTGACTCTGCCTTCCTGGTCCCACAAGTTCGGTGGACCCTAATAGTATGTTCATTTCCATCTGGATGGCTATTTACGAATAGAAATCTCACTGTAAATGTGTAGTCTTCAAATCAAATCCTACTTGGCAGCACATGAGCCAGTGGTCCAGTCATAACTGATCAGACCACATTTGTCCTCTCCTGCCAGCTAGATGGAGAGTTAGATGTGAGAACAAACCCTTACAACTTCCCCTTATCCCAAGATGGCCCTGCCAGACAGGCTTTTGGCTCTGACATCTCCCTCAGTCTAAAGGGCAGTTCTAGGGCTAGTACTTCAACCCTCCCCAGGAGTATCAGACTCCAGCCCTGATGACCCTGCTACTTTCCCTAACTCTAATCTCCTTCCCCAGGAGCTTGGATTCAGCCAGGTTATTCCTTGCTTGTTCCTGATGTACAGCACTGTATAGACTTTGAATAGTGTTTCCTGCCTGACTGCAGACCACTGGAACCATGCCTGATTTCCTACTGATGCACCTCTCCAGCTGACTGGATAAGCAACTATGCAGGCAGCTGTTGTGGCTGCATTCGGTCTCCACAAAGGGTACGCCCCCTAATTCCAGAGGTTGCGGTGCTGCCTAAGTCTGGCCTGGTCTCCACTGTCCTGCTCTGTAAGGATGAGGTCCTATCATGCCTTAATCTTGGGCACTGCCAAGGTTCTCTGATCCAATGAAGAAAGGACCAGGACTGTGGATTACAACGCGATCTAAAGTGGTCTCTTAAAATTCCCTTCCTACTTGGAAGGATGATAAGGAAACACAAAAGAAAAGGTTATTATTGGTTCTCTTCCTTGATGGAATAAAAGAGGTAAGTCTGCTGACTGAAAACTACGAAGAAACAAAAACCCGGGCTTTCTACTAAAAGCAGAACCCTTTATATTTTTCAAATTCACATAATATGTTAGTGCTCATTTTTAGATAGCTTCGGGAGGAATATGGGGATGGGAATTTTACAAATTCACAAGTCAAATATTTACAAGAATTTTAAAAATCAAATACACTTATTCTTCCAATGAGATCTACACCCTTAGGATTTGGTGCTCAACCGCAGTCAGTTTTTTATTGCTCTATTGATGCGGATGTGTAGACAGGAACACACATCAATGGGTACAAAAAACCAAACCTATCTGACTGAATTCATCTTGCTGGGATTTTCCTCAGGTCAGCAGACCCAAATCCTGTTGTTTGTAGTATTTCTCATCATCTACCTGCTGACTGTGTTTGGGAATCTGCTCATCATAGTGCTAATTCACGTTGACTCTCGACTTCATACGCCAATGTACTTCTTCCTTAAAAACCTGTCATTTACTGATCTCCTTTTCTCTACAACGATTGTTCCCCAGATATTATTCCATTTGCTGGTAACAAGAAAGACCATTTCCTTTGCTAGGTGCTCAATTCAGATGATTTTTTTCCTAATAGCAGGGTGCACAGAGAGTTCCCTCCTAGCAGTAATGTCCTATGACCGCTATGTAGCGGTCTGCAAGCCCCTGCACTACTCCACCCTCATGACCCAGAGGGTTTGTGTTCAACTGACCATAGGATCTTGGGCCAGTGGAGCATTTGTGTCTTTAGTAGATACCACATTTACTTTCTCTCTCTCATACCATGGCCAGAACATAATTAATCATTATTTTTGTGAACCTCCTGCCCTCTTGAAGTTGGCTTCAGAAGAAAGCTACAAAGCTGAGATGGCCATCTTTGCTATGGGTGTGGTGATCCTCCTTGGTCCTCTCTCCCTCATCCTCTTCTCTTACTGGAATATTATCTCCACTGTGATTCAGATACAGGCAGGGGAGAGGAGGCTCAAGGTCTTTTCTACCTGTGGTTCTCATTTTATGGTTGTTGTCTTCTTCTATGGCTCAACCATATTTACCTACATGCGTCCAAATTCCAAGAAAATGAACGAGAGGGATAAGGTGATCTCTGTGTTCTACTCAGTCATAACATCTATGTTGAACCCATTCATTTATAGCCTAAGGAACAAGGATGTTAAGGAGGCATTTAGGAAAGTATTTGGAAGATAGAGCCTCTTTGGAGGCAACGATCTTTATACTGCCATACAATTGTGGGGATAAACATATTCCCAAGTGGTGCAACATCTGTAACAGCTTTCTCTCTGAAGTGTCTCTAGGCTGATACATCAGAAAGGGTCACACAGGTGCCCTTGTACATCTAGGGTGTTTAAGTTTGTCAATCACATCTTTCTCAAGATTATTCTCTGTGGTTATAGCTTAATAGCAAAACATTATTATGAGGCAAGAATATTATATTAATTACATTTATATATCATATAAAGTTTTAAAACAGGATCTTGTTTCCACTAAGTTATTGGATCACTAGTTCATATTCACCTGGGGATATTATCTTCTGGTTCTAAACTCCACAGCTGCTTGTCAGCCTCATCCGATGCTAACATCATCTACAGTCTTCTACAGATCTTAGAGTCCTATCTGATATCAACATGCTAGAGTCTATCATCTCCAGTGACAAAACATCAGTCATTTTTTACCCTGAAGCTAATACTAGAGCCTTGTTTTTTATTTTGTTTTCTTCTCTTTTTTCCTGTAGATTTCCTGTGTATTTTTTCCTGTATATTTCCAAAATACTGCTATAGCCAATTCAACTGCACAATAATGTGTAGGATTCTCATATTCCAGCAAATATGATATAGCTTGCATATGCCACACACTGCTTCCCTCCAAAGACCATTACTGGCTCTCTTCTCTTCTGCAGATATAATTGTGCCAGTGGGAAGTGGAAGAGAATGGCTGACACAAGAGAAGCAATCCTAGAAGGTGGAGATTGCTCTGTGGGAAAAAGTGATCCCTTTAGTCTTTTCTAACTACTGCTGTAACCTTCTACTAGAGCAAAAGCATCACCAATGACAGACCAGCAGCTTCTGACCAGTGTTTGGCCTGTTACACTGCCCTTCGCTTAGGGGAAAACCCACTGTTGTTGCCCCCTGCCCCCAACTCAAGGTCTAACTGCAGATATTACATGACATTGACCCAACATGTCATTAGTTTGTGGGAACACTACCAGTCCCCACCCTCTGGCCTGTTTCTAGGGTCTGTGAGCCATGAAAATATAGCTGGGGACCATCACAGTTCAGCCCATTTCCCCCATGGTTATCCATTCCTCCTGGCCTAAGTCCCATGACACAAACACACTAATTCCATTACTTTGTCTTTCATTTGCCAGGCTTGCACATACCTCCTGACTCATCCCATCCAATGAAAACCTAACTCATTTGTTAACTAAATGTATATTGACAGTCCTTCTAGATACTGGATACACAGCAATGAACAAAGTGTAAAATGTCTATCCCCATAGAACTTACGTTTTAGAAGAGGGTGATAAAAATGAATAAACTAATAAAGTAAAACATACAATGTGTGATGGTAATAAATGCTGTGAGAAAATAAAGGCAAGGAAGGGTGAAATGCAAATTTAGGCAGCTGGTCAGGAAAGACCTGAGAAGGTGACATTTCAGTTAAAGGACATCTTACATCTTAGAGAAATTAACATTGTGCTGTGACCAGAAGGTTAAAAAGAACCAAAGAGAGATCTAAGGGAGGAGGGTCTAGGCAGAGAGAACATAGCGTCCCAATGGCTTGGATTGAGAAAGTTTGCTGAGATCAGGACAGAGAAAGGTCAGAGTGTTTGAAGGCTGATGAGTGACGGGAGAGTGTCAATGAATGAGGTCATAGAAACAGGCAGAAGCCAGAGTGGTGGGGCCTTTGTATTAGTTTCCCAGGGCTGCCATAACAAATTGTCACAAACCTGGTGGCTTAGAACAGCAGGAATTCATAATCTGGAGGCCAGAAGTCTGAAGTCAAGGTATCTGCAGACTAGGATCCCTCAGATGGCTCTAGCAGAGGAGACTTCTTGCCTCTCCTAGCTTTTGTACTGAGCTGGGTGTTCCTTGTCTTGTGGTACCATAACTCCTATCTCTACCTTTGTCTTCACAATGTCTTCTCCCCTCAGCCTGTGTCCTCCCCTCTTCTTAGAAGGGCATCTGTCACCGGGTTTAAGGTTCACCTTCTGAGGATGATCTCATCTTGAGATTTCCCTTAATTACATCTGCAAAGGTCTTTATTCCAAATAAAGTCTCATTCCACGTTCCAAGTAGATATCTTTTGAGGTGACACAATTCAACTCACTACAGCCTTGGAAGTCCTGAGAAGGTGACTAATTTTATTTTATGTTCAATGGAAAGCCATCCTGATGTTACTGAATGCAAGTTCATGTGCGTGACACACAGTGAGGCCAAACAAACCAAAACGTTAATGTCTGGAGCAAAAAAGGTTTACTGCAGGGCTGAGCAAGGAAAATTGTTGGCTCACAACTGAAAAACCCAAAACTCCCTGAAGGGTTTCAGCTGAACATTTTTAAAGGCCATCTGAGGGAGGATCAGCCTAGGGTGTGTGATCAGCTCATGCACAATTCTCTGGTTGATGGTCATCAATCCTTAGGCACCAGAAGGACTGGTGGTGGTTTTATCACGTGAAGAACTCAGGAAACATGGATCAGATACAATTGTCTAAATAGTTCAGAGAGGAGCTAAAGCAGAGGATATACGGGTGGGGTCTGTCCCAGGAAGGCCCCATAGAGTCCTGCTTGGTTACAGTTCCCCCCGTTTTCTTTGATATGTCTCAATCTTGAACAGGTGTTGGACAAGAAGGAGAATAATGTTTTGGACGGAGATGTTAATCATCAACTTGGCAGAGGAAGTCTGTTTCAGTCTCCTATCCTGTTTCATCCTTCCCCAGATCTTTCAGGGAATGGGGTGATGACAGTTCTGGCTACTTCCTGCTGAAACAAGGTATAGTCTTACCTCGATTTGGGGATAGACACAAAGTTGGAAACATTCCCAGATTCCAAGTCTTGTATGATTAAAACCTCGTTCCTTGAAGAACTCAGAATGAGCCTGAAAACCAGTCTGGACCTGGCACTTGGGTGGAGACTTGTGGCCAGGTAGCCAGTTGTCTTTTATCTGAGTAGGTTTTACCTTTGACGTGGTATTAACACATATTTAACAGGAGCTATTGGCCATTATACATCTCCTTTTTTTTAGGGTTCCCTTTCTACAAACTTTTCACAGCTTTCTGTATCCCTAAGGGTTTTTCCCTTTTTCCCCCTGTCTAGAATCAACAAGCTCAGGACGAAGTCCATTTCTTTTCCCTTCACAAAATACACTTTCATACCTCACACCTTTTTTTTCACTCAAAACATATATCCTACTTCCTACTGTATACTGAAATGTTTCCCTTATTATTTTTAGCAGCTTTAATGACATGTTTAAATTAGAATCCTCAACTCAAGTTCTAGTAAAGACCAAGAAGCAAGCAACCATGAACTGTCTTTTAAATCAGCATTCGGTAAACTGGCAAACACAAACACATCATCTTCAAAAACATTTGCTTTTCATAGAAAATATCTCACTGTGGCACCAAACATATTCACTGACAGTGCCAAATGCCTCTAGTTACTCTGAAAATGGAAGCCAGTGTTCAGTAATTAATATTTCAATATTTTATTTTTGGGGAAGGACCTAGCCATTCAACAAGCTTCCATCATTTAACTTAATTTAACACAATTCTAAAATTTCAAGTTACCAAATATTTGGAGAGATCATTTTTAAGTAGACTCAACTATTTCTAGAGATTCATTCAAAAGCTCCTCTCATTTGCATTTAATTCACCTGCAAGAATTTCATCATACCAAATAAAATTTTTTCTTTCTGATGACAAACTCTTCAATGTAAATAATAAACTTATTGAGCATTAGTAAACGTAGGTACAATGAAAGACATGTCTGTATTGATTATAGCACCAAGCTTAAGCTAGCTTTTTAAAACTGAAGTAGAGTTGATTTACAGCATTGTTAAGCTAGCTTTAATCATTTAGCACCGAACACTTCCCAGATCATGTGAACCTGAAGCTGTTCTGTCCAGCTTCTATATACGTAGAAGTATTATGTCTCTAGGCACTTACTTTTATGTCAATTAAATAGAGCTCATTTACAAGTTAATTTTTACATGAAGACAGACAGAACCAGAGATCTCACAGTTTTTCCTTTTGAGTTTAGAAAAATATTTTTTCCTCCAGAGCCCAGGGAGATTATTTACATCTCAGAGGTACAGAAAGAGAAATGCAAAATTCTCCTCCACTTTTACAAAACCCAATCATCTTGGCTATTTTCAGGTATTTTTATTCCAGTTTCCAACTATCCACTTCAGTTTAAAGAAATGACAGTAATAGATAATAAAATACATATAATTCACTCACATTCACATGCCTCACTTTCAACAAAACCAGGAGGAGAGAACAGGATTTGGCCTCAGGTACCGAGACACCCACAGATACTCACCCCCCAAGAAAAAGGCTGAAGCGATTGCAAAAGGCCCAGTTTGATATAAAAGCAGAGCCATGAGGAGCCATTGTTCTCCAGATCTCAGGGAGCACTGAGGCCACACAAGTTACAATAAAAACATTATTTTCTTTCATTTATGGGAGCATAGCTAAAGATCTCCCAGTTTTGCCAAAAGATGGAACAAAATTAGAAACACTCGTAATTGTTCACAGCTGGTATTATCAAATATCAAGCAAACAAATACAATGCAAAACAGTTTCACAGAGTCACAGTTCCCCAGCTCAAAAGGGAGATTCCCAACCAATGCCCTGTCAGAGACAAAGCTGAATAAACAACCAAAGCTAGAAAGGGAAAATTTTGACCAACACTCCACCACAGGTGATGCCAACACAACAGGGGAAGGATACCCTGGTGTCATCACACTCCAAGCCTGTTACTCACCAAAGATGTCTTATTGGCCAAAGTACTGACACACAGGCACATATTACCAACAAACATGGTCCCCCAAACAAAGGATCACACAAGGTGGAGCCCCAGAATTCCACTCCCAGACGGAGGCTTCCAGAGTGCCCTAGCTCCCAAAAAAGACTGGATCCAGAGTGGCTCCCAATAAGCCCAGACTGTCTCAGTTCCAGGAAGGGAAATGAGCCCAGGTGGAAAGGGTAGAAGTTTCTCGTCCTGTACAAGCTACAGTGGCTCACCGCAAAATGATACACACAAAACCACAAATAACAAATAAGCTATGGTTGCACAGACAATCAGAGGAGGTGTAGTCTAATAATTCCACTTCCACTCCCAGATGG